TCCAGAATTTAAATTTAGGATGAAAATTTACTGAGACAAGTTGGGTTGATCATTGTGAATATATCTAATGAATTGAACAGTAAAAGTGGCAAACCTTATCTCTATCATAACCAAAAGGATAAAACCTCGTCCAAATTGCTAAAAGATAATGAGGTAGTCATGAGAGAGAAATATTTATTCAAGCCCTAGTGTATTTTGATTAACTGGCAAGTGAATTTTGGGCATTTGAGAATGACTGTGAGTGCTTTGTTCAGAGAACATGATGTTGGCTGAATTCCTCTTCCTACAGAAAGATTGCTAGAGAGGAGAATTCCACAATTTCATTTGTAATATCTTCTAATATTTAACAAATGACTTTACTAGGAAATTCTTTATATCTAACTGAAATCCCTCTTAGTACATCAGAAACTATTTCTTATTGCCCTCTTTGGTACAGATAGAGGACTGTTGGGAGACATTTTAAGTCCATGGCCTTTAAGTTTAAAGAACTGTAGTTACTTTACTCCTCCCCTGGAAGGATATCCTATTGCTTTGAATTCATCTTCTGATAGTTCTTAACTTAGCTTCTATTGTCTCTGCAATTCCCTCTTCCAAGAAGAGCCTGCTTGGGTAGTGAGCACCTGAAAAAAAGTACTTAAACCTCATTTGACATTGTCATTCCTATTTCTGTTTATTAACAGTTCTTGGATTCATACAGAGTCACTATGAGCATATTCCATCCTGAGATCACTGACAATGAGATCTGTGGGATATAAGAACACAGTTAAGAGGCCACAGGGACAAGGAAGCTCTTGCCACGGGTGTGTCCTATGAAAAATGAGAATGAGTGGGCATGAACCTGGGGAGGAAGGACTGCTCTCCCATGTCTTCAGATGTGGCTTTGGAAGGAGAGCTCTTTGTGTGGTAAAGCGAGGGGTCATATCTCCAGGGTGGTGGCTTCTGCATACGGCAGGAAGTAGAGAAGGTGGGATGAATGAGTAATCTATCTGGAAAACACCGTCTCTAAGGATGCCTTGTTCTCCTGGCTGGGAATGAGGAAACTTTTGTGGCCCCCATGAGATACTAGGCCCTGATGCTGGCAGAATGGAGAGACTCATATTGCTCTGCAGCAGGGCATCCAAGGACTCATGTACCAGTACTGCCTTACCCTTGCCTAGCACATTATAAAGCCGTGCCATCTATACACACTCTTGATCTAAATTATGCTACCAGCTTTCCTGAGCTGTTGGTAAGCCACATACACATACACCACTCACTAGGGAGGGAGATCCATGCACAGTCACATGATCAGTAGAAGAGTTAAGACGGACATTGCCACTTCAGTCTGCCTTGCTCCACAGAACACAGGCTTTCTGGAGGTCTGTCAAAACCGGATATACTTGACGGAGATTCTTCCAGACATCAGAGGATTGCACAATTAGCTACAGAACCTATACCATTTACAAAGCAGGGGCCAAAGTGCGAAAAAAGAGGTGGTGATTGAAATAAGAGGTGTAGAAATAGAAGGAGGAGAAACACGAGGAATAGGTTGATTCCACTAGCACATTGAAGAGTAGTGGCCTATGGAGATCCCAAATAACTTTAGAACAGTTTACTATGGCTTGGGATTGGAAGAAGGTCCTTTCAGCTTCTTGGTAAATATACACTAAAAAGAAAGAATACAATGTCTTAAAACGTGTGTGTTATTCAATAACAGAACTATATTAAAAGAATTACTAGTGCCATTTCACATTAACAGTGTCCTCAGAGCAAATATTATCCCAGATCGAGTGGGCTGTGTACACTGAACAGTTTATGAGTCAAAAGAGAAATAAATGCTCTATTGAAGAAAAGGCTCCTTCTTACCACCCCCAGAGTTTCCTTGCAGATTAGATAATGGCCTATTTTGTTTGAACAAAGCTTTCATCGAAATTTTGACAAGCCACGCACACGGCCTTTGAACTCAGGATCTAAAAAGACCATTGTTGTTTGTTTGAAAAATCCACATTTTATCAAACAGACCATAAGAAGCAGGAAACCAAATGGGTAACTATCTTCGAACCACAAGTTAGCAAACTGTCCCATCCCAACAGTGTTAAGTAGTGTTCAATTTCTTATGCATCAGCTCCAATCAAATTACAATGAAGCATTAGTTTTTCCTTTCAACAGTTTTGGGAGTTGGGGTATAAACTAGTGATAAGCTTAGTTTATTCAGCAGTTAGTTCATGACTTACTCAGATAGGAATGCAGAAAGCATGCAGCCTATGCAATTCTGAAGACCAAATGAAACCACAAGTGACTTACCTAAGCACATACATGAATTAGCTTTGGTCAGCTGTATGAGTGTATATGATCCATCTGAAGACAAAATGGCTTGACCTCTTCTGTCTTATCATGAGTGTGTAAGCCTGAACAATGGGGTAGGGAACTTATTCCAGCACCAATTTGGTACGGGATAATTGTCTGTATTCTGTCAATCATGTATTTAATAAAACGCTGATTGGCCAGGCAGGCAGTATAGGCGGGAAAGCCAGACAGGAAGTAGGGGTGGAGCAAAGAGACTGGGAGTGTTCTGGAAGCAGAAACTCCATCCGCCACTCCTGCACAGACCACCGAAGCAGCAACATGTAAGCTGACAACTGAAAAAGGTACCAAGCCATGTGGCTAAAGTAGATCAGAATAATGGGTTAAGATAAGTCATAAGAACTAATAAGTAGCCAGAGCTAAGAGCCAATCAGTTTATAATCTTATGGAGTCCTGTGTGTGATTTTCCTTGGGGTATACCAGTTGTGGGGTACCAGGTGGGACAGAAACCCCAACAAGCTGGCCCTCATGTTACACCAATTATCATTATGGTATCTACTTCATGTGAAAGATAAAGATAGGAGAGTGGTCCCACTTTATTACATACTATACACAGCCTCTCGGGATTTTAACATAAATCTGGGGTAACAAAACCGAAGTTCTAGGCAGCAAATGAAAATGGATAAAGCAAATAGTGAAGTGGTCAGTGGTAGACTGATGGATGAGGTTCTTATTGATGCTGTAAGGAAATACCACAAGCTTAAAATGTGCTTTTATCATATCAGAGTTCTGAAGGTCAGAAGTCTAATTTGACATGGCTACAGCCCCGGGGGCCCCGCCCTGGAGACTCTGGATAAAACTGTCTAGTTCTTTGCTTTCTACTTGCAGGGGCTGTTGGAAGCTTTTTGTCTCAGGGACACCCCATCTTCAAACCCAGCACCACAGTATTGCCAAGCTTATTTCTTCTGTTTCTGCTTCTACTCTTCTTTCTCTTTTGGTAACCCTGCTGTCGACACCTTGTTCCAGAGGGACACTTGTCACTACATTTTGCCCACCTAGATAACCCAGGACAATCTTCCCATCTGCAGATTCTAGTTTAGTCACAAATTTAAGAAAAAATGGTTTGTTTGGTTTATTTCTGTCTTAACCAAGGTTCTCTAAAGAAACAGAACTAATAGGATTAACATTTACATTTAAATGTGTGTGTGTGTGTGTGTGTGTGTGTGTGTGTGTGTGATTATATATGCAGGTATGTATTTTGTCCTGGCCAGCTTTTATGTCAGTTTGGCACATCTAGAGGCATATGAGAGGAGGAAACTTTAATTGTGAAAATGCCTCCATATTATTATGATGTAGGCAACCCTGTAGGGCATTTTCTTAATTGGTGACTGGTGGGGGAGGGTCCAATCCATGATGGCTGATTTTCCTGTTTCTAGAGAAAAGCACACTGAGCAAGCCATGATGAGCAAGTCAGTAAGCAGCATTCCTTCAGGGTCTCTGCATCAGCTAAAACTCCAGGTTCCCGGTCTAACTTTCTTTGATGGTGAACAGAGATGTAGAAGCATAAGAAAAAGAAAGCATTTCCTCCCTAACTTGTTTTTGGTCATACTGTTTCATCACAATAGTAATCCTAACTAATACATACACACACACACAAACACAAATATACACATGTGTGTGCTATATGTATATATAACATAAATCACATATAAGACTTGTACGTGTATATATAACATATGAAACATATACATACACTATAAATGTATGCATTTGTGTATGTATATTTAAAAGGGATTTACTAGGGTGACTGACAGGCTACTCCAGCAATGGTTGATCCATGTTAAAAAGACCTAGCATCCTGTGGTTGTTGAGTCCATGAGACCGAATGTCTCAGCTAGTCTTCAGTCTATTTCAGAATTCTGAAGAGTTAGGTCCTAACACCCGTGAGTAAAATGCCTTAGCAGCAGGATAAATGAAATTTCCAATGATAGTCAAAGCAAGTAGGCAAAAAGCAAAAGCTTCCTTCTTCCATGTCTTTTATGCATGCTGCTACCAGAAGATGCGGCCCAGATTGAAGGTGGTCTTCCTACTTCAAATGATCCAATCAAGAAAATTCCTCTCACAGCTTCTTAATTTTTTTAGTTTATTCTGGATGTGGTCAAGTTGGCAACCAAGATTATTCATTATAGGCATGTAAGGAGAAATATTCACAATCTCAGAGATTAATACTTAGAAATTTGAGGGGAGGAAATTATTATTCTAACAGAAATGACAAAGAAAATATTGACATCCGATTTGTACTTAACAATTCAGCAAAACACACCTCTTCATTGCACTTAATATAAATTTAGTAGTTTTTAACTATAAACCAAGTACATGCCTGATAAACATGACAAAGCAAATAATAGCCTTAAAACAATCTGTGCTTTGGGAACTTTTGGTGTTACACTTGCTCTTGCTAGTTTTCTTTGCTTGTTTTGAGATAGGGTACCATTTTGTAGTTCAGGCTAGTCTGGGGGCATCTACAGTGTTAAAATTACAGATGTGAGTCACCACACCTCTAATGACTTTCAAATGTATGTATAAACATCATGCACAGGCAAAGAAGATATTTTTAAGATCCACAGTATGGGAAAAAAAAACCATGAAAATGAAACGGCACTAATGTCTGGAAGAAGAGCTCAGTTTCCCAACATTTAAAAATATGATTCCATATAATCGCTTCTTGGCCTTTTGGCTAAGTTCAAGTGTAGTATCTGTTCTTATCAACTTAATATATGATACATCCTCTATCTGAGGACAATATATTAAATGGATTTTTGGAATTAGGGGTTGGACAAGGAGCTTACTCCATCCACTCCACGCATTGACCTGGTATTGCAGTAGCTCCATGAACCCCCTCGGGGAATAAAAATATATGATTCCACAAATCAAAACCAAACAGTTGAAGAGTTCATAGAAAAAGATGAGCAAAGATGAGAAATTGACATCAGATATACACATGGACAGCATATGTAGTATGAGAATCTTCTTTTCCTCCCGGGTTAGGATGTGATCCAGATTGCACATTTGTGTGTCCCCTATATTTAGTCAAGTGTTCAAAGAGTTCGTGAGATGATGTTATTAGGTTTGGGTTTGGTCATGAGAGTGGATCCTTCATATTGAGGACAAGCACCCTGAAAAGAAGGTGTTGGACCTGTGAGGATAAGGGAGCTGTCGGCAAAGTAGGAAAAGGGCTCTGCCTACCGGATCTCAAACATGCTGAAGCCTCACCAGCATCACAAAGATTAATGGTATGTTGTACTATTATCTATAAGCTAACCTAATTTGGTGAGATAACAGTGCGCATATGTTGTAGGGAGGAGGGCCCACTTGTTTTTCCCAGCCACCTGGCTAGCTTAGCCCTGAAATAACCACACAGACATTGTATTAATTAAAACACTGCTTGGTCAGTTTGCTCTAGCCTCTTATTGGCTAACACTCACATCTTGATTTAACCCATTTCTATTAATCTGTATATCGCCATGTGACAGTGGCTTACCGGGAAATATTCAGCATGTCTGACTCTGGTGACTCCATGGCAGCTCTCTCCTTGACGCTGCTTTTTTCCTCCCAGAATTCAGTTCCATCTTCTCTACCTACCTAAGTTCTGCCCCTATCAGGCCAAGGTGGTTTCTTTATTCATTAACTAATATAAGTAACACATAGAAGGAAGGAACTCCTATGCCACACACATACACTACCTTGAAAAGATAAATGGAAGGACACTTTAATACACCTGACAATGCACAAGTTTACATGCCACATGATTATTAGTTATCTGATTCTTTTTATAAAATAAAATATTCCCCTATGTGTCCCTTCCAAACACTAGAAGATGCCTAGAGGAAGAATGGTTATTTTATATTTAGCCAAGATTTAACACATGTGATGGCAATAAAGAGAAAATATATAGCTAGGAAAAAGAAGCAATGGAGGTTGGGCAAAGGCAGTAGTAGATCCAATAAAGGCAGAGAAATAACATAGGAAACCATAACAAATTGATAAGAGAACTCTAGAAAATGTTCTGTGGCGGTTTGAGTAAGAATTCACCCCATAGGCTCATAGATTTGAATGCTTGGTCATTAGGGAATGGCACTAGTTGACAGTGATAGGAGGTGTGGCTTTGTTGGACAATGGACTTTGGGGTTTCAAATTCTCAAGCTGGGCACAGTACCTCCATCTTCTCGTGGACTCAGATGCAGACCTCTCAACCCCTTCTCCAGTACCATGTCTGCTTCTATACTACCATGACGACAATGAACTAAACTTCTACCCAGTCCTGATGAAATGCTTTCCTTTAAAAGAGTTGCCTGGGTCATGGTGTCTCTTCACAGCAATAGGACACTGACTAAGACGCCTTATTAATATGAAAAATGACTTAAAACTATGTGATGGAGCAGGACAGCCTGCAGTTCCAGAAGCACAAGGATCTTAAGTGCAAGGCGAGCATGGGAAACTTAAGGAACCTGTGCCAGGAAAAATAGTTGAAAGAGGACTGTGGATATTGCCTACTGGTGGAGATCTTACATACCATGAGGGAGGTCTTTAGGTTCAACCTCCTATATAGCCAAACGTAAAAATAAAATATGTAGGAATTTTTCTTGGAAAGATAGTAGAGTAGATGCTGCTGACGTGGACCTGCTGAACAAGAGGCCCTGGAATAAGAACATCGTTGACTTTATTCTAAAGAGGAAAAAAAAAAGGAAAGAGCTTCTACTCACGAGACACTGAGAAGATACTGAAAGTTTCCATGGAAAAGACAGAGAGAGAGAGAGAGAGAGAGAGAGAGAGAGAGAAGCAAGAGAAGCAAGCTTCCCTCATGGAGGGGAGGGAAGTAGAAGTCTTATTCAAAAGTTATTCAAAAGTGGTACTGGGAATCGACCTTCAAGAGAAGTCCAATTAATAAGAAAACTTCCAAATAAAATTCAGAGAGCTATTCAAACTAACAGTTGCATAATACAAAGAAATATAAGAAACACGAAAAAGCAAGGTCATATGACTTCTCCAAAAGATCACTTGCACACACACAACTACTACTGCAGAGACAATGAAATGCATAGCATGCCAGATGAAGGCTTCAAAAGGTTGCTGGTAAAATGATTTCTGACGGTGTCACTACTGCACCAGTAGATGTTATAAGCAGGTCACCGCTGCAGTTCACGTTTCATAGCTAGGTTGGTGTCTTCCTTTCTCATGGTAGCATGGAAATACTTTTCCAGTACCATAGGCACTAGTTATTTGCACGTACTTAATAACGGGGTTTTATTTTAAAGAAAAATGAGTAACAACAAATGCTGGTGAGTGTGTGGGGAAGGAAGTACACTTATACATTCCTGGTAGGAATATGAATTGGTGTAGCCCCTATGGAAATCATTATGAAGATGTCTTAATAGCCCTGAACACAAAGCTGCATAATACTCAACTCTACCATGTGTGTGTGTCCTAAAAGACCCTAAGTCATCATATTACAGATGTATTTTCATAAACATGCTTACTGCTGCACTGTTCAATGAAATAGAACTAACCTAGGTGTCTGTCGTCCAAGAAACAAATAAAGAATATGCAGTATATGTTCACTCGGGAACTTTATTGAATCATAAACAGGATCATAAAAGATTTACAGGAAAATACATAAAAATTTAAAACTTTATGTTAAGTGAGATAAGCCAGACTCAGAAAAACGATAGGCTGCGTATATCCTTTCTGTTGTGGAATTTGAATTTAGGTGTGTGCAGTACTGTCTGTGTGTGCGTGTGTGTGTATGTGTGTATGTGTGTGGTATGTGTGTGTGTAGATCATGAAAGCAGGAAGGGGGTGGAAAAGGAGAAAAAGAATAGAATGAAATTTTTACTGCTTGCAAACATATAGAGGGACTATTTGAAGGAAGTCGGTGAGCAGTAGCAGGGAATGTGGGTGAAAAAGGTGGGTGGGTTATAGCAAATTATAATGACATATAAGCATAAAAATGCCATAAGAAAACCCATTAAAATTAAAGTTAGGCAAAAGTTGACAGCAAGTAATAAATACATCTCAGTGTTTATCAGTCTTCTATCACACCCAAGGAACCGTGTTCAGTTCCCCGTACAAAACAAAGAGACTAAATCTTGAAATAATTTTTGACTTTTTTTTATTATTTAATAGACATTAAAACCACTAAGGTATATGGTCTCTAGTTGGAAAATTCAGTGTGTTATCTTTTATTTCTAAGTTTTTTATGACAAAGTAAAATAATAAAGTAAAATTTAGTGATGTTTTATGCTTATAGACAGCTTAATTAAATAATAAAATGAAATTAAACTATACAATGAAAGAGAAAGGAAAGAGAAAGTTTAGTCCTAGGAAATATTAATAACAAGATGCATCTATAAAATGTGTTGGATTTAAAGCTAAGGAAAGAATGACAAGCAGGATAACAAGAAAAATACATAGTGGAGAAAAGTCAGGGATTCTCAGACCTTTCCACACACTTCAGGGCCAGAAGAGGTAAAATGACACGTACAAGAGTCTCCAGGCGTGCCCTATAGTCTTGTACGGTGCCAACCAGTACCAGAAGGCAATATTCTACTGTCATTATTCCTACAGGCTTCAGGCTAGGAAAGGGTTGATGGTAATGATATTTAAATACAATTCAAAATCAGAAACAAATGTGAGCTGAGTGAAACCAAGGAGTGTGTTCAGTTTCCAAACGCTGACAGGGGAGAAATGACACCCCTAAGAAAAAATGGGAGAGGAAAGGAAACAGAACTTGAGTAATTTCCTCTGTCTCTTCTAATGTAGTTGACGGCAAAAGAAAATCATCTGAAGCAAGTCAACCAAATAATCACCATTGTTAGTCTATTTAACAGAGAAATTAAACATTAAGAAAGATAACAATATTAGCTAGGTTAGGTGATTGATGACACAATAACCTAATTGTAATTATAATCTATGAAAAAATAATTAATAAGCTGGGTTTCCTTAAAGCTAGACATCACTCAGTCAGTAAATTGCTTGCTGCACAAGCTTGAGGACCTGTGTTTAGCTCTCCGGAATCCACGCATAAGCCACATGTGGTGCAGTAGCCTAGCAGCCCTTACACTGGGAAGACAGAGGTAGACAGATCTTTGGGGCTGCCTGGCCAGCCCATCCAATAAATCTGAGGATTATCCGAACAATGAGAGAGTCTGTATCAGAAAAGAAGGCAGAGAGCAATTAAGGAAGACACCATACACCAATCTTGAGCCTTTGTACACTCCATAGATGATCATATGCATACACATTCCCACATAGACATGCAGGAACACACGCATATACTACACACCAAAACTAAAACACAAAATAACAACCAAGAAAAAGAATCCTCCTATGCTGTGAAAGTCACAACGAAGATAATGCGAAACCAAGTCAATCCAGGTAGTAGTGACACTTTCTTGTGTCACTCATGTTTTTATTATTTATGCTAATAAAATTTATTATTAGAACATTTTTAATTCCACAGTAAAACCGAGTAGAAGGTAGAGCCAGGTCTAGTATAGCCTAGCTTCCTCCCACAGCATCCACACCACTGCCATTGCAGCAGCACGTCTCCTAGATTCCATGAACCTCTGAACCACCACCATCACCCAAATAGAAAGTTCGTCCTGCCAGAGGGCATTTTTTGTTTTTTCTGTGACACAATGTCAAGGTATTGTTTGGTTCAAAGTGTCTCCCCAAATGGCAGTGCTGGCGGCAATGTCCTGATCAGAAGGGCTCTGGCTAGGTAAACAGAGTATGGCTATTGGGCAAACAAAAACCTAAAGGCTGGTTTCTGTTTACCACAGATGTATATCTCTCGGGCAGATTTCTGTTTACCGGGGACTTACCTCAATCTGTCTGTAAAGGTCAATTACTGTG